GGTGTCTTGAAACAACAAAGAAGAAGTGTGTGATGTAATTATTACTGCCAGCTGAGAAGTGATGAGTTTTATGGGAGAAGAGTAGATGGAGCCCATCAAGACACTTGAGGAGGGAAGAGAGGGAGGAGATCAAAAACCTTAATTAAATAAACTTTAATCAGTAATAAATTATTATATTATTATTAAATTATAGTTTCTCTTATCACATTCAAAAAATGTTTTTTTCCGCTTCTTTTGTTTTGTTAGTTTTTTTAAGTTGTCTTTGGATGTTTGCTTGTATTAATAATAATATGGGGGTTGCAGTAAGGTTATGTTTAATTTTTATATAAAAAAGTAAAGAACATGAATCATGTCTTTGGTCTGTCAGATGATCGTTGGTCATATGAGAGGAATTGTGTTTAAGTGAAAAACATTTACATTTACAAAAGCTTACCATCTATTTTGTTTAAGTGTGTACACAAGGCAAACTGTCACGGTTTGGGTTCATGTCTGGGTTTATTTCGTAGTCTCTTTCCTCTGTTCTCCCTGGGTCACGTCTCTTCCTGCGTTGTCCTGTCATCCCCTGTGATTGTCTGTTGTGTCATGATTGTTTCCAGCTGTTTCCAATCACCTGCACCTCCCTTGTGTATTTAAGCCGTGTGTGTCTGTTGTCACTTGTGGCGTCATTACTAAATGTTGGTGGGCTGAAGCGCATGTCATGCCCATGATCTCGTCACAGTTTTCTGACCACGTTTTGGGCTTTTGGAGTTTTATGTTTTTTGGAAGTTTTGACTATTAAAGTCCTTTTTTGTTTCCTGAAAGAACTCTGCGTCTGAGTCCTACCTTCCCTCTCCCCTCGCATGGACACCACCCTGACACCAAACTATAAATAACTACCACTACAAAGGTTTTCAGTGAATGGGTTTAAGAAATATTACAGAAATTGACTCTTTGCTTCACTCAAAATGTGTCAGCGTCTCAAAAAGCAGAAGTACTCAGTGAAGAGGTTTTTGTCACAGTGTAAATCACTGTGATACGTACTCATTAACAGAGTTGTCCCATGTGTTACAGTAATAGACGGCTGAGTCTCCCTCCTCGATGTTCTTTATGGTCAAACGATAATCTGTAGTTGACTGATGAGTGGATGTGAACTTTGAAGAGGAGAAACCAGTGCCATATGTTGGAGAGCTGGAGTGATAATGATATACTACAAACTGAGGAACTCCTCCTGGAATCTGTTTATACCAGCGAGCACGCACATCAGAATC